GCAGCGCTCGCACTCAGGGCACGAGTGGGTGGCGGGCCGAGAGTGGGTCTTCTGGTGCTTGAGCAGGTGCTGCTTCTGGCTGAAGCGCCTGGCGCACTCTGGGCAGCAGAAGGGCCGCTCGCCCGTGTGGTGCCGCTGGTGGCGCGCCAGGTTGGGCTTCTGGCTGAAGCTCTTGCCGCACTTGGCGCACAGGTAGGGCTTCTCCCCGGTGTGGGTGCGCTGGTGGATCTTCAGGGACGACCACCAGCTGAACCTCTTCCCGCAGTCCAGGCACACGAAGTGACCCTCGCCGGCAGAAAGAGCGGGGCTCAGGGGACTGGGGGCTGTCCCCGGAGCCCGGCCTGCCAGCCCCGTATCCTGCTCAGTAGGAAGAGTCCACCTGGGACCCCCAGTCTCCTCCTGTCCCCCCAAGGCTCGAGGCTTCATGGTCTGGCATGGCGGGAGGCCCCGACGCTGCTGGAAAATGTTTTCCTTATCCTTGGACAGGGCGGCCTGCGATGCCAGGGTCTGCAGCAGCCACTCTGGCTTCTCCTGCTTGACCTTCATCACCAGCCCATCTCCTGCCAGAGGCGAAGGGAGAGAGGACAGCGAGAGTCAGTCACTGCTCTGCGGGGTGGAGACAGGGCGCAGCAGGAAATAAGGCAGGAGAAAAGAACGCAGAAGGAAAAGATTTAGGAGTGGAGAAGAGGGATCGGGAAAGGAGAAAGAAGAGAGTAAGGGAAGGTGGGAAGGACCAGGAGGTAGAAGCAGGTTGGGGTGTCGAGAGGACAAAGGGGAAAATGCAGGAAAGGACAGACAAGTGCCCAGGCCACCCCGCCGGCTCTGCCCCGGGCCCGGGAGATGCGGAGATGGTTAAAGACACGGATCCAGTGAGAACATCAAGGAGCAAGCAGAACATGGCCGAATTTCTGACTCTCATTCTCTAAGAGGCCCCTCCACCTGCCGGGAGCTCAGTAAGCGAGGGCATGCCCAGTCCCTCAGAGGGTGGGTGACCGAGCCCCACATCACTGCCAGGCCCTCTCCAGGGGAGCGGCCACCGTGCGTGAGCCCCTCACCTGCTTGGACCTCAGCTGTTCAGCAACCTCACCTTTCTTCAACAGAACCAAGAACAAGAAAGTCGGCCAGAAAGGTCTTGGCATCCAGAACAGGTGTCGCCTTGTACTAAACCTAGTACCCTTTACTTCTGAGAGTCCTGCACACGGCTGCTCAGGTCTGCGGGGGCGCTTTGTCCCTCTAGGTCAGTAGGTACCGGTCCGTGGCCTGTTAGGAACCGGGCCGCACAGCAGGTGGTGAGCGGCTGGCAGTGGGCGAAGCTTCATCTGTATGTGCAGCCGCTCCCCAGCGGCTGGCAGTGAGCGAAGCTTCATCTGTACGTGCAGCCGCTCCCCAGCGCCAGCATCACCGCCTCGGCTCCGCCTCAGATCATAAGGCATTAGATTCTCACAGGAGCTCCGGTCCCAGGTGCCAGAAAGGCTGGGGACCGCTGCCCTAGGTGATGGACATCAGCTTGATGGAAAAAGTCTGCTACAGACACTAAACACAGACGATGATTCCATTTATATGAAGTTCAAAGCCGGCAAAACTAATCGAGGAGGCAGAAGGCAGGATAATGGTCCCCTTATACAGGGCACTGTGACTGGAAGAGGGGACTGCCGGGATCCTGGCAGTGTGCCCTTTCTCGATCTGCATGCTGCTGCTTACATGAGCATGGTCATAAGAATTTATAAGGATTGCGACCTACACATTTTTCTATGTGTCACACTTCAATAAGAAGTTTAGAGTCAATAAAAAGTAGGTGAAATGAAACAGTTGTGAACAAAGAGGTTCTGGACGACGGGTTCCAATGTTTAACAACAGAATCGGCCCAAAGGAAGCAGGAAGCAATTAAAAGATAGAAGTTGAGCTTATAGGATAAAGGGAACATATAGATATGAAAAGGATTCCTAAAATACGGTATGGCAGTTTGAAAATCTACATAAAATGGATGATTTTGTGAAACAAATATAAATGAATAAAACTGACTCAAGAACGGGTAAAAACATATCTATATAGTCAACTAGAAGAGGCCGAAAAGAAAGCTCAAGTTCTACCTTGAAAAGGAGACACGGGCCCCTCACCTGTATAAACAGGTTCTACTAAAACTTCAAGGGAAGGATTATTCCCAGCTTTCATAAACAGTGACAGTGACTAAGAGGAGAGGGAGGGACGGAGCCTACAAGCTACCATAATCCAAGATCAAAACAAGACAAGGGTGGGGCGGGCAGGAAATTATAGCTTTATGGTTCTCTGCTAGACTCCAAGAACAAACACAAGACCATCGGCAAAGCAGGTTC